GTTCATCTTTAAATTACTGACCCAGGAATATCGATCTACAAGATCATTGATCCATCCATCTATAGCCCGCTATATGCTGAGTTTTGGGTCACCGGAAGACTTTAGTTTATGTCCTCTCGTAACCCTGAAGAGAACTATGGGCAAAAAAGGTTACTCCATCGTTCTCCTTTAAATAAGTTAAGAAGATTTCACTTATTGCGGATCTACTAGTTGTAAAAACAGTCATTATGAATTTAACACTGTGACTGGCACTGCCCAGTCCACTGGAAGGATGCCAACAATTACTGCACACTAGGTAGTAGAAATTATTTTTATAAAAGCCAGGGCAAGATCTACATCATAACTATATTACAGTAATTACTGAACATTTCTAAATGACATTTACAAATGACAATGCCTTTTAGTTCCATGCAGGTTTCCAGAAACCCAGTCTATTTTCAAGTCTACCAGCTGTTCATTTTAACAGACGAGTCATTCTGCAGCCAAATAGCATAAGTGGGAAGTATAGCAGTCGGAGCTCCGAGAAGGAAGAATGAGCGCAAGCAATGAAATGTATAGGAATGGCACCGCTGAGAGTTAATGACTTCTCTAGGACGTGACCAGGGCCATTCCAGATACAAATTTCCACTCACCGTACTTAAAGCGTATCTAAACCCAAAAACCTAAATGTAATATATTGCAGCTTACCAATCCTTAGATGCTGCATTAGCATTCTGTTTTAGGGTTTTTCTGCCTTATTTTTACCCGGTGATCCGGCTAGTAATACATTTCCTGCCTTAGAGTGGCTACCCTCACTTCACCACTGTATCTACTAAGGAGCAGCGTAGGCACCCTTGGACAGTAGTAGTCTCAACCTGTGGAGAGGATAGTGTAAGATAGACTAGTAGATATAGATGGACTTTACATAAGTGTCTATCCTTTTTGGATGAAAGTTTTACATAAATTAATAAAAGTTGACCTCTGTAAGACCACCTGTCAGTGTAAAATGGTTTGTTTCAACCCTCTTACTGTCACTTTTGCTGGGGGCTTTGGTCTATTAAAGCTGCTGTGCAGTATTTACACACACACACACACACACACACACACACACACACAGGGGTAAGTTCCAGAACGCATACATTTCATGTTCAGGAACTTTTGCCCACACGTGTGCAAACACTGGTATTTGCATGTGTATACCTTCGTACAGTCCAGAAAAATGCAGCAGCTGAATCTCTCTGGCACCGCTAGTAAAGGCGTATTCTATGCTGTATACCTATACGCCTGTATTTGCATTCGTGTGCATGAGTACATAAACTCCAAACCAGTGGCATCACAATTGGTGCGGCCCGCACCTGGGTGACACCATTGGAGGGGTGACACCAAAATGACTGACAGTCATGGACCGAGAGCCTGACAGTGTCAGGAGAGAGGAGGGGACCCGGCAGCATACCGCATCCCACTGGGTGAAAGTCCCCTCCTCTCTCTGCTGGCGTCCATCACTAAGATGGCCGCCTGCAGGCGTCAATTAGATGACTGTGCATGCGCCATGACGTCACAGCGGGGGTGTTACCCGGTCTCCGCTCCGGGTGACACCAGGCCTCTGCCCCTGCTCCAAACTGTCTGCACTAAGCAATTGCTTACACGGTACAATAACCTACTACTGCTATCAATTTTGTGGCTAGATGGAACATGATTTCTGAACAATGTCATGTACATCTCCCTCTGGATTTATACAGAAACGTAACGTGCGTCCATTTACACCCGATTACCTCTGACTCCATCTAGGTCTGGAACCTGACGGACCTGATCATGACGGATCAGAGGTAATCAGATGTATACGGCACATGTCCACTTACATCCAACTCCCTACAGACCAGGAGCCTTTAGGTGCCCACCAGCTGTGCATTAACTACAAATCCCAACATGCCTCTGCCTCTGGGAGTCATGCCTGTAACTGTCAGTCCTGCAATGTCTCGTGGGACTTGTAGTTCCACCACAGCTGATGGGCCAGAGTTGCCCACCCCTGTCGTAGACCTAACGTGTCTGTACAGCTCAATTCTTTCCACCATTGGAAGATGGAGGAAAAAAAGTAAACGGACAAGGTTATCACAAAAGTGACATCTGTTCTGTACTGCTCCGATCAGCAGGAGATCTGAGGATAGATCCTCTGCTGATCAGAACAGACGCTGCATGTGTAAAAGGGGTCTTAGTATAGTGCACATGCGCATACAATAACATATCAAAGTCAAAATGATCCAAATCCATACAAGCTACCAAACAAAAAACAACTTAATTGCAGCCAGATCATTGTATCAGATATGGCAGTATACTGATTTCCCATAGTGTTTATTCATCTAAGCTGTACTTGTAAACAAGCTGTGTTCTCCGGGATAGTGGAGGATAGTGCTTTCCTAGGAAGGAAATATTGTATTACAGTCTTGAAAGACATGTGAAGAGGCATATAGAAATGAGGGCTAAACTCAGCTAACAGACTTGGAATCATTCCGTGAGGTTTATCCAGCTCAGATATCGGATGAATTTACAGTACTGGAGGCTTTTCTCCACCTTTCTGCCTGTCTGCACTTGTCTGTCTATACAGCAATGATATGCAAAGAAAAGAAAACCATAATGGGAATCATACAGAGAGAGAGAATTGAGAAGACAGATGTAAGTGTGTAACATCTGACATAACAGCGTATTATGGAGCAGATGGAAACCTGCAGCTGCAGAGCTGACATCCTCCATACACAGTGCATGCTGCCCCAGCAATAACAAGGAACTCTGCGCTCCTTCCTGTCTAGTATTAGGTGGAGGGAGGGATGTCTAAAGGACATTTAGGGTCAGCTGCCTACGGCAAGGAAAACCCTGTCCCTGGAATTCAGAAATACTGTCCTAGCTACGACATAGTAGTGAGACATATAGTCGCACTTGGGGCAGATTCATGTATGTGTCAGAAAGGTGTATATGAATCTGTCGCAGCTCTGACTGAACGGTGACAGACATCTCTCTTGGAGGAGGTCTTATATACCTCAGATTTTCTTATCATGGATATGGTGGTATTTGCTGCAATAGCACCCTACAGTAAAAGGACATGAATTTGTCACATGAGTTGGTACTACTACTAACAATGAAAATGTGGCATGGTTTTCATGAGTTTGGCGCAAGGCTTCCGACAACATACACACCGCCATATACACAATGCCCTGGAATTCATATAGAATGTTGTAGACAGTAGAAATCTGTCTCCCATCATGCAACAAATGGCACAACTTGTGACAGATGTATGTAACAATCGGTAAGGTGTATATGGACCTGTTGCAGAATTACTTCAGAGTTTTGTCTGGAACACATTCAGGGGAATTTAATATTGCGTTTGTGATAGAATTCTTCCACTAATGCAGCCTAAGAAATGTCATTGCCAATTTCTAAGGCATGCAGCGCCATTTTCCGGACCTCTACCGACTCCTGCGCCAAATTCAAGTAGTTCTTAATTGAACCATATTAGCATATAACATATAGCAGAGCGCACCTTATGGGGAACTCGGTCCTCTGAATTCCCCATCAGGCTCTGCCCACCTACTGTATAACTTCTCGTCTGCTGCGCATGTTTCTTTGACAGGCAGAGCGGCCGGGCAGAGAACTCGGTAACGCTGAGTCTGTGATTTTATTAGGCTCAGTAAGGACGGAGTGTCCGGTGTGGGCACTCTGGTCTCATTGCACCTCCATACCTCAAATGGTGAGGTTGCACTAAAATTCTACCTCTATGCAACACTTACATAAATCTGGTGCAAGCACTGACATTTGTTGTGTGGATGCACAACAAAATTCTAAAGAATATCGCAGATGAGTTGCATCTCTGTCCAAAGTGTCACATACATGTCTGAGATAGATTTCAGTTGGTTGCTCGGTTTTAATGAATGTCGCACCTGAGGTATGAGTCGCATACTGCGACAGACATACACAATATGAATATGCGACAGGCTAGTTACAAGAAAAAGTACATGGTCTTACTTTGCATCACTTTTCTTATTACTGAACTGTCCTAATATATTTATTTATTGAATATGTTTTAAGCACAGCACCAGAAAAAAAAAATATGGCGCAAATAAGAACTTCTTGAATTTAATGTAGGAGTCAGTAGAGATCGGGAAAATAGCGCAGCATGTTTTAAATTTGGCGCAAACATTTCTTAGGCTGTATTAGTGCCAGAATTCTGACACAAACGCGATATTGAATTCCCCTAATACGTCTAATCTATCACACAACTTGAGATCAGCAGCACCACGGCCACCACACTGCGCATTACTACCGACTATAACCAGAGCAAACACAGATCTGTCACACAGTTCTAGAAGCCCTCATTTACACTAAAGCGTGAACTTTAGCCCCTGTGATATTTCTGAAAGCCACCCCAATGCACCGAGACATCACATATGCGTTGCATCCTACTAAAATGCATGTTAACTTAACATGTGCTCTGCTGTGACAGGACTCTCGCACACCTTTGGTGCGATATAGGCAGAGCATTCAAACGAATGGTCTGCCCTACTGCAACGCACAGTAACACATGTATAGACACTGCAATGCACATGCAATGTCGCATTGCACAGGAGTCAACCCAGGCTTACTGCATTTTTTCATGCATTTATACCTGCGTTTTTCATGCATCAGCATTTTTGTATTAGTCAGTGAAAAGCTAGTTACCAGAGAGAAGTAGATGTTAGCTGCAAAATTGTACAAAAGCGTGATTTACGTGTGTTCTTCAGGCGTTCTCATTGAAGTTTATGAAGCCAAAAATGCATGATTCTGCCCCGAAAAAGCATTTTGTTTTTTGCACGACAAGTGGCATGCGACATGACGACCTTCTGCAAACATGCAACAAATTGCTTGGGTGTAAATGGGGGCTCAAGGATGGCCATAAAGATCGGACTCTCTTGCACCACGTGACCTGTCAAATAATCCAGTTTGCACAGTAACGCAGGCACTTATCTGGTAGATCAATGACCTGTAGTACTCACCACCAGCACTGTCTGCCCGGAGACCTCCAGGTCAGAGGACTTCTCCACTGCTGCTGCTGGGCTCAACAGCCAGTTGCTGGGGCAAGGACTTGGGGGAAGTCCCGAATCTGGACTGTCCAGCACCCTGTCCCCTTTCTTCTTCATGTCCAGCAGCTCAGGGACATCCTGCAAGGCTAGCCGGCCAACCATTGCTGCCCTGATGAGGCTGCAGGCTAGGTCTGATCTGTGGCTGGCCACTACCACGTTCAGGTCAGGGATGCAGCTCACAGTCTCGCTTAGTCTGACTCAAAGGCAAGCAGTTGTCATAGGATAATGATGAGTAATGACAGTAGAGCAGAGGAGTGTGTAGAAGTAGAGCTGCCTGGAGAATGAGAATGCTGCTGTGTGCAGTAGTAGCAGAGCACAGTGTAGAGTAGACCCGCCCCACATGCCTCCCCCCATCTTTGCTCTACAGCTGTACTTGCAGGCTTTATTATTAAGCTTGGGTTAATTGTTAATATGCAGGCATGACAGTTCTCACGCCTCAGGACACTGACATAATATATCCCCTTCCTAAAATGGGATTAGTTTCTGCCTGCTTGTCTGTGCACCAGTTTATAGCATTCTCACATTTTATTCCATTGTACCATTTCAAATGAGACGGTCAATCTATAAAAAGTGGGGCATAGCCATCCCTAAACATTAGTTCCCCAGGGTGTATATTACTACGCCACGGCAGGTGAGCAAATGCAGGTAGTTCTTAATACCGTGTGACAAGTTCATAAAAACATAATGCTGACAAAGAAGATGATGTCATTTTGGAGTCATTTGTGTTTGAAGTGAGAAGTTGTTGGTTGCTAGGATGCTGGTGCCCCAATGCTGCCAGCGTTCTAGCAACCAATGACGCCCGGCCGCACAATCACCGAAATTCATAAATAGTGTGTGCAACACTCTTTAGAATTCCATTGTGCATCTGAATGACAAATGTCTCTCATTGCACCAGATTCATGTACCTGCTGCAAGGACACTGGTGGCCCTGAGGTCATCGGCATTAGATGCAACCAAGCCAGGCCCAGCCACACAACGTCATTGGTTACTTGGACACCTGCATCCTAGCAACCAATTAAACTAATTGGTTGCTAGAACACTACTGACCAGGGTTGCTGGCGTCAGAGCAACAATCAGGCTCGGCCACACAATGTCATAGGTTGCTGGGACACTGGCAGTCCCCAGGCTGCAGGTATCTTAGCAACCAATCAGGCTCAGCCACACAACGTCATTGGTTGCTGGCACACTGGCTGCCCCAAGGTTTCAGGTGTCCTAGCAACCAATCAGGCTCATCCACACAACCTCATTGGTTGCTGGAACACTGGTGGCCCCAAGGCTGCAGGGGTCCTAGCAACTAATCAAGCTTGGCCACACCACATTGATTGCTATGACCCTGGCAGCCCAGAGGCCGCCAGCGTCCTAACAACCAATGACACTCAGCCATGCAGCATCCTTGAGACTTGTGCACAAGGAAGGCTTTGTGACAAATTCATGTAAATGTTTCTGACATGTACTGTACATATTTTGTAGCATTTACCGCTTTGTTGTATGGTGTCTGTGCTACGCTTTATGAATTTCAGGGACTGTCCCTTTGTTCTAATTTTTTTAAGTCAGTATGTGATTATTATGTTTACATAATCATTGACAGGGAACGTAGCTGTGTCATGTGCTTTCGTCGTTTTAAGGGGTCTTAGGTTTCATTTCAGCTATAAGAGTACGCTTCTATTTCTACACCTTGAGTGTTCTTACCATTTATAAAATTTTTACAAGTCAGCAGTGAATGCCTTTCTTGCTGTCTTTACCTTCTGGGACCCCCAAGGCTAAGCTGGTCAGTTACAGGTTATATATTATGCAAACTGTAAATTTAAAATCTATGGTAATCTTAACAATTACCTTTTCAGATTTTATCCCGTTTGGTCTGAACATAACATAACATTGAAAGTGTTTTGTTATATTGGCTCCTATCAGAAAACTGGTGAGCTGATAATGTCTGTTGTTCTTGTGCTTGTCCTGACTGTTTTCAGTTCTCTTGTTCCCAGCTCTCTGGGGATTACAGAACAACTCCCCCCTATGGTATAGAGATGAGGAGAAGTGTTCTAACACACATTCTGGTTTAGGATAATAATGTTGCTCCTCCATGGATAAAGTATGGGGAGTGTCATCATGCTCGGACAGGAAGTGTATTACTGGCAGGATCAACCGGTGAAAATGAAAGAAAAAAGTCAGAATAACAGAAAGCTAATAGTAACCACAGCTTCAATATTTTACATTTTTGTCATTTCAATCACTTCATTACCCAAGCCACCCCTAAACCCCCTCCATGTTTTTTTTTATCATTTCCTACACCTTGTTTGCTGTGTTGTCCTAAAATTACATATTCACACGTCCAGCAAATCCAGTGTTGTCCTGCTGCAATCTGCCGCCTCCTGCCGGGTCACATCCATCATCTTCCTTATGTATGACATCAGAGGGGTGAATGTCTCTTCTGGGTTCTAGCAGGCAGCCCCCTGATGATGCACCTCAGAGCATCAGCAGGGGGCTGGCTGCAAGGCACATGTACTGCATAGCACCTCAAGACCTCCTCGGATGCAGGACGTCAGTATCCCAGGAGGCTGCGGGTGAATGGGATGTCATTCTTGTCTACACTGGAATCCCAGAAGTGCCAAAGAAAAAAGATGTTTGAGGAAAAGACAAATAAATAACTATCCAATTAGGACAAAGTAGGAGGGCAAGGAGGTAACGTGGGTGGTAAGGATGAAGGTCCACTCTAAAGTCATTTCAAAACTTGGTTCCAATCTTTTTAAATTTGCAGTTTTCATTAAAAAAAAGAAAAAGGTGATGCAGATCCTTGCTCAGAATATCCGGTTATGGGGTAACAGCTGTCTCCCACTTGTGCTTCTGCATAGTCACCCTGTCACACAAGCCCCTGGTGGAGACAACATGCTGCCATGTCAATATACATTGTGCAAGCATGGTACACTCTTGTCATCAGTAGACTGGTCCAGAGTGATGATGTGCTGGAACGAGTTTGTTTAGACAGGAAGTAGCTTAAAGCTGAACACCAGGATAAGCAAATATTGTCTAAATACAAGAGTCATGTGAGTTCTATCATCTCTACACAGGCTGGGTACAGCACAGTGATAATGTCAATACTACTTTTACAAGGTAATATCTGGGGTTGCAAAAGCAATTGGTGCAGACCTATTAGATCAGTGCTTCTCAACCTGTGTAACCTCAAGACCAACATTTTGACCTTGCTCATTAAGTCGTGACCCAAGTTGCACTGCAATGGAACTCAGTGTGGGCTGCTGTGCTGTGACTGAGCTCCATCCATATGTGCATCCACTTGTACAGTTTCCTTGCACACCCTGTACAGGTGCCAGGACCCAGATTGTGATGTCACTCCAGTCCAGGCACCTCTACAGGGTACGCGAGTGAGCTGTAAGCAATGCAAGTATGGATGGAGCTCCCTCGCGGCCATACCCCCACCCCACCTCAAGCTGACACTCAGCACCGGGCAGCATATTTTGAATGGCTGCTTGGCGCGAGAACTGACAGTGCTGCACTAGGGGGAGGCTGAGGAACCTATCGCCTAGAAAAGTGGAAGGCACACGGGGACCCACTGAACACGGGGTCGCGACCCACCAGTTGAGAACCAAGGTTCTAGATGTATATCTTATGTGACTACTGCAGAAGATACTGTATTTAAATGAAGGTTTTCATGGCCAGGGTTCAAGTTTAAAGAGACTGGTGAAGATCAACAGCACTGAGAAGAGGTGAAAACTATTTTAGGACGATGGTGATTTTTCCTAGAACATCCCATCTTGTTCTTGGACAAGCAACATCCACCTTGACACATTTCATGGTTATTGGATTAAGGTTATTGAGTACAAGCTGATACAAACGATGGGGTATGTACCCAACACTCGGTAGCCCCATTCATACTTGCGAAGAGCATGTGCATTTGTCGCGTGTCAAAGGGCAGCCTATTTATTTCAACTGCATCAAAGAAGGTCATGTGCTTTTATTAGCTGCAAGCTTGTTTTTTTTTTACGTGTTTGTCATCCGCCTTTGCATGGCAATTTTGGGGTGCAATTAACAATTTATAGCAACACAAGCTCACCTGCAGTTTTCACAAATGCGTGAAAAATCACAGGATTTTGCACACGTTCACATACTAAACTAGTGTTAATGGGGGCTCCAGGCTGAAGATGAGCAGCAAAATACATTCAACATTACAGAACAGTTCCAGATGAATGTGACTACTACTGGCGTTCTTAGAAAGCAGTAATTTCGTAGACGGGGCCATCCCTCTAATGAGGCAGTCTGAGACAGTTGCCTCAGGTGGCATCTCATTGGGACACTTGGGGGGACACTTGGCAACCTGGGAGCTCTTGGCAACCTGGGAAGCTCTGGCTGGTGTCCCACCCCGCTCAATGATGTTACTGGTTGCCAGGAGTTGAGCGGGACACTCTGGCTGGTGTCCCATCCCGCTCCTGGCAACCAGTGATGTCAGGCCATGAAAAAGTGCAGAGACACCCTTTCCCTTCACAGAGATTACCACACTGCTCAAAGTCTTGCCTTAACCAATTCCTACCCCCTGTATACATGTGAGAGGTTTAATTTATTGTATACATTGATCTATAGCAAGAAAAGAAAAAAAAAAAGAAACAATGAACTACCATCATTATGGAACAAATCATAGCAAAGCCCACTGCGGGGTAAATTACTTGTAGAATATATGCTCAGAAATAATTAGAAAACATTTCCCATATTAATAAAAAGTTCTGTGTTACCAGGACTGTGTAGAAACGTGACAAGAACTTTGTCTCAACTGCTTGAACAGGTCTATTAATTATTCAGACATTTAGTGCCGTAACACATTCTGGCATGCTGGACACACTGCATATTTACAGTAACACATGGCAACTGAATAGGAACATGCAATTCTGGCAAGCTATTCACTTCTGAGATAGCAGCTCAATTAAAATGCCTGCCTCTATGCACCAGTCTATGTCAGCCAATGAATGTCATTTTCGGGTAGCTCAAGCAATGTTTAACCAGGTCTGTGTTGTGGTTTTTATTAACAGTAACAGAATGATGCAGCTCTTAATATTCCGTACCACGCAGAGGCAATGTCTCGTTATAATAAGGAGTTATATTACATAGAATAACCAATAAGTACGG